TTTATTTATTTTATATTTATTTTTATTTATTTTATATTTATTTTTATTTATTTTATATTTATTTTTATTTATTTTATATTTATTTTTATTTATTTTATATTTATTTTTATTTATTTTTATTTACCTGTAAAATTATTTTTCTTCGCCTTTATCGACACGATGCTCCCTTCACATGTTCGGGTGCCAAGGATAATCACGGGACAAATGAGATATGCAGGGTTTATACCTACAACACTGCCCAAGTAGCAAATAAACGCTCTCGAGGACATACAAATTGTGTTTGGAGAGGTCTTTCGACGTCCAATGTACTTGGATGGGCACCCTTTTATGCGCCCAGTTATGGTGCCGTTTTATCACAAACCATGCGGCATTTGAAGGACATTAGTTCAATGTTAAGTATGTTTTCCTTCGATCATATCAATGGTATCCATCTGACAATGCGAACCTTTCCTTCAGGAAAGGTTCGCACGACCAACGCTAGATGACGCCAATGTAGTCGCTATAGCAGGTCAATTCCTGATACAGCTGGACTCATTCCCCAATACCTTCCAAAAGGTAGTCGATCTTTCTCCAAATGAACCAGAGAGGAAGATGCTTGAATTCTTGAACAAATCGGTCCTTAGAGGTGACCCATTCCAAGGAGTTTCCAAAGAACTCTGGCTCGAAAAATAGATGGAGTATGGCTCGATTTCCAAGGAGACCTCATGGGAAGGAGAATGATATGGAAAAGATGGAAATGCATATCAATGCTTCCTTGAAAATGAACTTATTGTTGGGGGTGTGTGACCTCTAAATACAAGGTAACCGCAAATTTCAGTATGACGAAACTTTCCGTTGTATGATTGAGTCGTCCCACTCATTACCACCACACTATCCAACACAATGGAAGTGTGTTCTCTTACCTTCAATATTGTTGCTTCTGACCCCACCGACGGGAGCAAGGCTCTACTTGGACTAAGTGCAATTTTTGGTGATGAAAAGAATGTATTCGAAACGTTAACTGCATATTTATTAGATGAATCCTGAAAAGGAAGTTTTACTGAATCCTTTTCTTGGAAATATTAAATTCACGTCCTCCATAAATTCACGTGGTTCAGGGAATGCATAATTTCAACACGTTTTCATCGCTTTCAATTTTAAAACATTTAAGCAGTCAATAGAACGTTCCTAATGACGTTCAGGGAAAGCTGCCAATATAATAATGAAACGTTCATTGAACACGTTCGGATGCTAATTGGTCTCTGAAGGTCATGGTGACCACAACAGAGCATTTCGTTTCCTCCGGTTTGAAGTAGGTTTACCTGTCACTAGCATAACTTTTCTTACCAGTACCGTGAGACGTCTTCAGCTTCCTGTTGGTCGCATCAGCAAACAAGTGAGCACAATTTCAATCATCAATTTATTTTCAAAATCACTTGAAATACAATTTATGATTAAATATCGTGCTCCCTTAAAATCTCAGCCAGATCTTGAGACCTGGAGACTGAGCGAAAGTAACTGAGAAAGGGTTTTACCATAAAGTGTTTCATGCTATAACTTAAATTCCCCCGTTGCATCAATAGGATGACTGAATGGGACACTAGAAACTAGTCATGAAATAGGCACTATTGTGCAATGTACTGTAGATTAGCCATGGAGTTTATTGTGGCTCATATGAGAATGCGATGAGCATCTTCAAGATATCAAGGAATTTAAGCGAAATGAATTTCCTTGACTGTACATCCTATAATGTGAGTAAACTCTCACGTCCTATGCTTGCGCTTACAATAACAGTAAGTAGCCGAGGCCAGGAGCGTGAGACCTAGAACCGCACAACCGACCCCTATGCCCACTTCTCGAGAGATTGCGCCGTTTCCAATTCCACCTCCGCCGCCGCTGGGTGGTCTGGGTCTGCGCCTCCGTTCCTTTCCTTGGTCCTCTTCGGTACTCTGAAAAAAGTAAGAGAAAGTCCAGTGCTGATGCTGATACTCAAAAATAATCTGAGCTGCAGCAGGCCGAGGAGGATGAAATTCAACATGGATTGATAGCCTGGCATATTAAATACTCATTTCTCGTTGGTGATAACACCAAGCGACCCATCATTCTTTTTACAGCTCTACATTAGTAGCCCAGAAATTGTATTCCGTTAAACGCAGTCATGGCACGAACAGGTTGACTCGTCTATGATTCTCTTCAGCAGATATCAGGAAGATGCATTTTCGGATAGAACTCCATTAGCAATATTTGCTGGAGGAAGGCATGGACATATCAATTTTATTACTCGAAGCACGTCACAGCGATCTCTTTCCCATTGACGACACAAGCATCTTGCAGAACACCAATCACAGTTTGAGAGGCAAAGGACGGACTTCTCATGGAGGAGGTTTCTTGCAATAGAGCAAATTATATATTTTGGGCATAGATCAGGGTGCAAGAGAATGATGGGTTGTTTTCCCTGATGTTATGAATCACTTCAGCTTAGGGTAAAACCACTCAACCGCGCTTCACGGTTTTCGCATTTATTGCCGATATATTAATAACGATGGTATTCAATAATTCTATAATCGGATCATCGTATTACCAATTACTTCTCTGTTACAAAAATTCACCTTGACTGAAACTACCCGCTTCCATCCTAACGCAGCCTGGATGGGGCTTTTTCGGACGTGCCTATTTTTTTCCGCGGTTAAAGATCAATGGAATTTTCTAGGCACCTTACGATCATCAATTCATTTTAAATGTCAAATTCCACGCCTCTGAAGACACACAACAACAAAGAACCCCAAAATGAGGATAGAGACATTAGTGGCGAACACGATTTTGAGTTTCGCTCACCTCTTCGGCCCAGAAAACAGGAATTTCCATTTCTGGAATGTTCTTGAATGTGTCATAATCCTCAAACGGTCGTACTTTCACATTCGTCTGCAGTCTCTTCCTAACTCGGAGTAGGAATCCAGTTCTCTGCAACAGGATTTAAAAGCCGCTATGCAGAACGATTAGGAATGCAAGAAATATCAGAGTTAGTTTTTCTCGCGTTCAGACCGGTTCGATGTCGATGAAGTTTTCGTGTAAGTCCTTGAGGGGTGCGATTCCATGGATGAGGGACGCATTGAATCCATTGTCTCCAGCTCCTTCCGGTACGTAGAAATGAGGAGAGGACATGATGAACTGTTTCCCTGCGCATAAAAAAGTATCAGCCGTTATGTCCGAAAGCGGCCTAATCCTTATCTTTAAGGACAAGTTGCTCGCATGCAAGAGCAAAACATAAATATTGACCGGTTACCGTAAGAACATTGAGCGACATCGAGAAGGCCAGCTCCGAGGCATTCGTCTTCGATGCAAAAGCATTCGTTCTCCGGACGAACTTCTGCAGATGCAACAGAGTCAGGGTGAAGCACGAAACGATATCCAGAAATGCCTCCGACTTCCGTGTGTTTCTCATATCTGAAGTGAACGGATCTGCAGGAGAAAGAAAGTTGCACTCAATCTCGTGGTGCTTATTGATGCGTTGCCCGAAATCCCAAACACTTCCATGCTCCATGTTTCCCTATGGAGAAGTGAACCGAAGGGATCCTGACATCAGTTGTCGTGTTGTGCAGGAAGGCTAATGGTAGTGGTAGAAGTGATACTCTACGAAATGCGCACTAATGACCCTGGAAAAGTATCTGTGAGCGTTGGATCTCCTTGGGGGAGTCCGATGGTGCGCCAGCTTGTGTGAAAGTGTTCTGTAGCACGAACGCATTGCAACTGCTGCAAGTCAAGGATAACTTCAAATGAGACGTATCGGTATGAATTTGGACCACAAGTGCACAGGATGAAAAATCAAGGAAACTTCTCAATAACAGAGACCCTTAGTAATGTAGCTCAGAGATCTGAATGGGTTGCTCTTCGGGAATGCGAAGCACGATTGTCGAATGCGCCAAAGCATGAATTGAATAAATAAATTTTACTCGAATAAATCAACATTTCCCGGTCTCTATCGGACATGCGCACAATGTAAACGTTACTTTGTCGAAGTGTTATGTTAACGTTACTTAACACTTTGACGTTCATGCCATATAGCGTGTTTGGCATGGTGAACCACCAATGCTCTTCACAACTTGGAGAGTTTCGTTGGCATTTAAATCCTATTCGATGAAAGTGATAATATGGGCATCATATGAACATAATCTTACAGACTAAAATATAGTTATTTGCTTGCTATTCATGGATGGATTTACAGCTTCATATATAGATGCATATTCATAGATGGAGTAAAAGCAATCTCGGGTAAGGCTTGGAGAAGCGTTATTTCACGATTGGAAGGAACTATGGTTAAGGAACAAAATCATTTAGGTTCTCAAAATAATCAATTTCGTTCCTTTCCTCATATCGTCTCCTTAATGGCNAACGCAGTCATGGCACGAACAGGTTGACTCGTCTATGATTCTCTTCAGCAGATATCAGGAAGATGCATTTTCGGATAGAACTCCATTAGCAATATTTGCTGGAGGAAGGCATGGACATATCAATTTTCACGTCACAGCGATCTCTTTCCCGTTGACGACACAAGCTTCTTGCAGAACACCAATCACAGTTTGAGAGGCAAAGGACGGACTTCTCATGGAGGAGGTTTCTTGCAATAGAGCAAATTATATATTTTGGACATAGATCAGGGTGAAAGAGAATGATGGGTTGTTTTCCCTGATGTCATGAATCACTTCGGCTTTTGTAAAACCACTCAACCAAGCTTCAGGGTTTTCGCAGTTACTGCCGGTATATTAATAATGATAGTATTTACATTCTATAATCGGATCATCGTATTACCAATTACTTCTCTTTTACAAAAACTCACTTTGACTGAAACTACCCGCTTCCATCCTAACGCAGCCTGGATGGGGCTTTTTCGGACGTGCCTATTTTTTTCGGCGGTTAAAGATCAATGCGTTTTTCTAGGCACCTTACGATCATCAATTCATTTTAAATTTCAAATTCCACGCCTCTGAAAATGCTTTTAAGCACAACAACAAAGAACCCCAAAATGAGGATAGAGACATTAGAGGCGAATACGATTTTGAGTTTCGCTCACCTCTTCGGCCCAGAAAACAGGAATTTCCATTTCAGGAATGTTCTTGAATGTGTCATAATCCTCAAACGGTCGTACTTTCACATTCGTCTGCAGTCTCTTCCTAGCTCGGAGTAGGAATCCAGTTCTCTGCAACAGGATTTAAAAGCCGCTATGCAGAACGATTAGATTTGCAAGAAATATCAGAGTTAGTTTTTCTCGCTAAGTCTGGCCAAGCTACAGCTACTTCAAAAGCACATTCAGGAACTCCCCACGCTAAGGTACCTACTCCCTGCGTAACTTAGGTAACAGAGGTCGAGGAAGGCCATGCATCTTTACTCCTCTCCTGTAGATGAACTGTTTCCCTGCGCATAAAAAAGTATCAGCCGTTATGTCCGAAAGCGGCCTAATCCTTATCTTTAAGGATAAGTTGCTCGCATGCAAGAGCAACACATAAATATTGACCGGTTACCGTAAGAACATTGAGCGACATCGAGAAGGCCAGCTCCGAGGCATTCGTCGTCGATACAAAAGCATTCGTTCTCCGGACGAACTTCTGCAGATGCAACAGAGTCAGGGTGAAGAACGAAACGATATCCAGAAATGCCTCCGACTTCCGTGTGTTTCTCATATCTGAAGTGAACGGATCTGCAGGAGAAAGAAAGTTGCACTCAATCTCGTGGTGCTTATTGATGCGTTGCCCGAAATCCCAAACACTTCCATGCTCCATGTTTCCCTATGGAGAAGTGAACCGAAGGGATCCTGACATCAGTTGTCATGTTGTGCAGGAAGGCTAATGGTAGTGGTAGAAGTGATACTCTACGTAATGCGCACTAATGACCCTGGAAAAGTATCTGTGAGCGTTGGATCTCCTTGGGGGAGTCCGATGGTGCGCCAGCTTGTGTGAAAGTGTTCTGTAGCACGAACGCATTGCAATTGCTGCAAGTCAAGGATAACTTCAAATGAGACGTATCGGTATGAATTTGGAACACAAGTGCACAGGATGAAAAATCAAGGAAACTTCTCAACAACAGAGACCCTTAGTACTGTAGCTCAGAGATCTGAATGGGTTGCTCTTCGGGAATGCGAAGCACGATTGTCGAATGCGCCAAGGCATGAATTGAATAAATAAATTGTACTCGAATAAATCAACATTTGCCGGTCTCCATCGGACATGCGCACAATCTAAACGCTACTTTGTCGAAGTCTTATGTAAACGTTACTTTGTCGAAGTGTTTTTTAAACGTTACAATACACTTTGACGTTCATGCCATATAGCGTGTTTGGCATGGTGAACCACCAATGCTCTTCACAACTTGGAGAGTTTCGTTGGCATTTAAATCTTATTCGATGAAAGTGATAATATGGGCATCATATGGACATAATCTCACAGACTAAAATATAGTTATTTGCTTGCTATTCATAGATGAATTTACAGCTTCATATTCATAGATGGAGTAAAAGCAATCCCGGGTAAGGCTTGGAGAAGCGTTATTTCACGATTGGAAGGAACTATGGTTAAGGAACAAAATCATTTAGGTTCTCAAAATGATCAATTTCGTTCCTTTCCTCATATCGTCTCCTTAATGGCAGTGAATTCCGCGTTCCGTGGCATTCGGGTTTTTCTTTGATCAATTCCGATATCCAGGGAAAAATAAATTTCGAAAATGAGGGTTAATAGGTTCCTGATCCTCTTCAGATCAAGAAAAGACCCTTGGCATTTTTAAAATCTAAACTATTAGCTACTTTAGCACCGAAAAAGCAAGAGAGCAATTACTTTTCCCATCGTGCAGTACGTTCTCGATAGCATTTAATAAATTATTAGTTTGGGATAACATTCTTCATTCTCCATATTCAGAGGGGAAGGAAGGCGTTCGTTGAAATACTACTACCCAATGAACGCCCTGCGACTAATTGCGTTGAATTCTCCATTCCATCAGCAACTCTAAAATGAGTAACATCCAAATGCAGTCGACTTCGCATAATGGAATATTATGCGGATTCCGATTTACGGTTCAATACAATTTCTGTTATTAGAATTCTCCGGATTATAGAATAAAGTTCGTTGGTTCCGCGAGTATTCCAATAATCGGAGTCTACTGTAGCATGGGATCTACGGGTTGATCCCACGAGAGACACCACTGATTTACTATGGGAGGAATGTAATACGCTTTCTAATGTCCATAATTTATTTTGTTTTATATGAAATACTGATGTGATGACTCCCTATCTAACGCTGGAGGAAGGGGAGAAAGTTGTGGCATGGCTGAAAGTTCATGGTTCAGCTGCAGCGTTTGTTTCAAGTGACAGGGGGTTCTTCCACTCATCGGAATACAATTTATCAATTGCAAAAAATTCCAGCGAGACCAGGTCTGTTCAAACATCATCCAGGATGGCTCAACATCCTGGATTGAACTTTGTCCCAGATTTTGCATAATGATGTGAGCATGAGAGGTTACCATATTCAGGTTCTGCATCGACTCCAGGATATTGTTTTCCCAAAATGAGTGAAAGCATCACAAGATATGGTTGTCATTTTAATATTTGAAGAGAGGGAGTCCCTCCAGTTCTTTTCAGATGAGGCAACATCTTAACATTCCAACGAGTGTCAACAAACATAATTGTGCGATATGGGGAACACAGAGACCTGTTCCTGAGAGTGAGCATCATGGAACTCCCCCAAAACTGTCTGGTGCGCATTCTCTACAGAACAGTTGGGGAGACCATTCTTCTTCTCAAAGGATACTGTCAAAAGTTAGAACTACCTGACATTGTTGCAGGAGTTTATTATTCCATACCTAATTCAACTTGGGATACATATCCATCAGGTTCATTTCCAGCAGAACGGAACACCCCACACTGGTCGAGGGAGGTTCGTCAATGGTTAACTGACACATTTGCATCCTGGATAGGCAGAGATGACCCAATAGAGTGGCCTCCGCATTTTGCAAAATAGCTCCAGCATTTCATCATTCAAAAGGTTTAACCATACTGGATTTTTTCCTGTGGGGCTGCATTAACTGCAGATTGTATGCCAAATAAATCTTGAATATCAATGAGCTCACGGAACGATCGCTGGATAGATCCAGTGCTACAGTCAGATAACCTCTGAGATGGGAAGAGTGTACCATGAGACAATTACCAGATTTGAGAAATACATTGAAGTTGATGGAAGACATGTGGAAGCTTCTCCTGTAATCTAGTGCGTTGCAGGAGCAAGTTTTAGTATGTTACTTTGAAGTTGTTCCTTCAAAATAAAATGTTATCGATAAATCGGTGGAATGCATTCATCGAATTCTCAGCACGAATATGAAATCTTAAGAAAGTGACCTGCATAAGTCGGTTACAAAAGTGTAGAGAAGGGTCTCCGTGTCAACGAATGGAGGGAAGACAGTTCCGTCAGTGCCGTTGATGGCATTGCACTCCTCCGAACTCCAAGGCTCCATGTAGTGCATGGATTCTCCGTGCCAGAGATGAATCCTTCCAAAATCGGAGGGATCGTCTTCTCCTGTTCCAACAAGGTAGGGCCCGTCCACCGTCCCATTCCTCGCGATATCCTTTTGAAGTCGTGAATTCAAGGAAGCATTTTGTGGGATGCAATTAGGGAATGTACGAGCGGTTTCTTAACACTCAATCGTAGATATCGAATATGACGAATTCACTGCAGATGTTAACTCACTCGATAGAATGCAAAATGGAAGTCCCACATATCGGGTGGTAGTAGCTGACTCAGGATATCTTGAACGAATTCTTCAGATAATGTTAAATTCATTATTAAGAAAGAAGCCACGTCTTCAATGAACGGCAGATAGTAGCCTTTGAAAAGCAATTCCTCCACTGTCTTTGTGACAAACGCTCTTCCCTCCGGGTAATGCATTATGATCTCCTCTAATAGCGGCAAGACTATATTCATGATCGGATTGTCTAATTTCACCAATCCGGCAATAAAACCCTAGGGGAACAAATATACAGATCATTCATGAATCAGGGAGACCGCATAAGATATAGCTAACAAATTTCATAGTGTGAAGACATTCTCCGTCTGCATTTAATTTCCATTCAAGACCTTGACTCGTGCAATGATAGGAACTCAAAGTCTCCTGGAGCTTCCCTGCTGCATAGACCACGGGAATAGGCGATTCCATCTGATTCCTCTCTCCAGTAAACTAATGCAAATGAAACTTGCACTTTGGAAAATCTTAGAATCATTAGTCGTTGACATTGGAAACTATTGAGACTGTCAGAGAGCCAATGAATGAAAGAGGACTGAAAGAGGAAAAATCAGTTATTGGGAAGTGATAAACTGAACTTCGCGCGAAAAGTAACTGCTGCTTAAGTTTTCAGCAGCCTAGCTGGCTCAGGTGAACGGGAAATAGGATGAACTCATTGCAAAACGATCTTCCTACAACTTTTCTCTGACAATATGAAGTCAGTGAAAATGAACAAAATTGGTTTTTTTACTCGTGCAATGGCCATGACGCATTGTATAGTGTCCCTCAAAATCCTCTGTGGCATGCTTTGACATTGCCTTAGAAAGAGTATGAAATAGCATTGAAATGAGAAAACCTTTCACCTTTCCATTCTGTGAAGCGCCGATATACTGTACTGTACAAGTATATACTTTGACATACCTGATTCTTCGTATCTGTGGTGAGACTGAAAGAAATGGGGTTACGTTCAGACGTGAAGGGAAAGAGCCAATGCATTCCAATAATTTCAGTGCGCCTTACTCTGAGAAAAAACTCCAAAGGAGTAGAGAGCGCGCAGCATCACATTTATACTACTAACGATGTGAATATCCGCATCATTCTCATGATGACGGCGAGGAATCTCACATTCATCTTCTATCGCCTAACCCCCTCTTCATCCATTATCTAGCTGTGCATGGTGTTCGAAAGCGATGTCCCTACTCCCAGATGTCATAGCGTGAACTCACGAGTACAGGAGCGTTGATTGTCGTTATCAACTCGCTTTGATTTCCCACCGACTCCTCCTCCACGAAGAAGAACGTCTTCGTCTCGTAGTATTCCACTGTCCCATTACCAAACGTCCCGGTCACATTCTTCTCAAGTACCTCTCTAAACGGATGAAAAACATCGTAATCGCAAACCCGTGCAAAGCACTCCTAGAACGACCGGGTCGTCCCTTTTATTACCGGAATACATAGGGACCGATTTCCACCAGGTTCAAAGGTCCATTTCCATCCATGAATTCCTGGGGATTGGTCACGTTGAAGAACCAGAACTTCATTTTGGTCGAGATGGGACGGGGATAGAACCTCAAAGGATCATTCCATGCTTCCATACCTTCCACCAGCTGATTCAGGTATCACGAATAAAATGTTTATATTTGAAAAGTCTCATATCATGATCAGGACAATTTTGAGAAACATATTCTCTCTCTTACCTGGCTGGCTTCGAACAAGCCAAGCATTGCAATGATCCAGGGAAACCAATTGCGTGTAATCAAGCCCTTCATCTTATCAATCTGCTGTTGATTCAAGAATTCAGAGCGAAACCCTATCACACCAGCAGCACCTGTTAATGATTTCATAATATATAGAGCTTCATCCTGTGTATTGTACCTATAGCACAGCCGTACCCTAAGCAATGATAATAGGCTCATTCGTTGAAATAGCTCGGATCAGCTGGATGACACAAAAAGCCCATGGAAATGCACAGCAGGTGTTGCATCTAGAAATGAAAATAACTTCGGCTTACCAACAAACGGCGATGCAGAAAGAAAGGTGCGTTCTACAAGGAGCACGGCTCTTCAATCCAAGTCTAGCTGGAATAGGATAGCGCTACACTGTTTATAGGTACCGTGATCTACGAGATGACGTTAACCTAGGCGAGTTGACGTTCCCCTATGACGTCAAGATCTCTTGAAGCCTCACTTCACCTTCAGCGATGAGTCCTAGCTGCAAATCACTGAAAAAGTATTGTAACAATCAACATTATGCCCATTCGACCATTGTCCATTCGACATTGTGTGACATTCGACATTTTTGCTAGTCGACAAAAAATCTGACGACATTGTGGCTTTCGACATTATGTTATAGAACCAACGGAACCGGTAACTAGTTCCTTTTTCATGGGAAGAGTCTAGCCCCACGTTAAAGGCAATACTTTTCTCTCTTGATATCTCTCAGGTGGGGTTTCACTCTATTACCCTGCCCCCACCCCGACATTTCAGTCAAAATACGCCACTGCATCGATGCAAACTTTTGTGTGAAAGTGCTCTATGTTTTCTGATGGCCAAGGTACTTTCCATCACACGAACTCCAGCATCTAACTTGAGAAAGCATGTCTAGATGAGTTCCACCGTGTCCTCACTCTATACAGACAACCTTTGGTTTAACGTTAGATCTAAATGATAGGCGTTGCTTTGGTTCAGATAGTGCATCTGCACGGAAACCTTTCGCATGCTTATCGTTGGCACCTCTCTCCTCAATTTTGCAACCAATTGCGTGTAATCAAGCCCTTCATCTTATCAATCTGCTGTTGATTCAAGAATTCAGAGCGAAACCCTATCACACCAGCAGCACCTGTTAATGATTTCATAATATATAGAGCTTCATCCTGTATATTGTACCTATAGCACAGCCGTACCCTAAGCAATGATAATAGGCTCATTCGTTGAAATAGCTCGAATCAGCTGGATGACACAAAAAGCCCATGGAAATGCACAGCAGGTGTTGCATCTAGATATGAAAATGACTTCGGCTTACCAACAAACGGCGATGCAGAAAGAAAGGTGCGTTCTACAAGGAGCACGGCTCTTCAATCCAAGTCTAGCTGGAATAGGATAGCGCTACACTCTTTATACGGTACCGTGATCTACGAGATGACGTTAACCTAGGCGAGTTGACGTTCCCCTATGACGTCAAGATCTCTTGAAGCCTCACTTCACCTTCAGCGATGAGTCCTAGCTGCAAATCACTGAAAACCATTCAAGCGTCAGAGCATCCTCATCATACGTGGATAGCGTGGTGAAAGCGAAAAGAAACAATTGGAAGATCACTCACAACACCCTTGAGATTGGAGAGCAATCGTCCATTTGGACGTCACTCTCGTGAGCGATAAGGGCTCCCTGAAGCAGCCAGGAATTCCTCATAGGAGCTATTTTCGTACTTCTTGACTCCTCAAAATGTACTCACAAATGATAATTGTTTTGAACGTTGTCGCAGGAAGTTGATTGTGGAGGTTCTATGCAAAGAAATGTATGACTTGGGATTCGTGGGGTAGCCGCAAACAACGTCCAGATGTTTCAAGGAACTCTAGATACAATGTTTCCAGATTGAATTCGTACCCCCTCCCCCTTAGGTGCGCTTCCATCAAGTGTAGGCAGGACATCTTTTGGATGGAAGGTGAAGTATTAGGAGAATCCTCCGTGGGTGTCTATTTCCTGATCGGTGGAGCCCTAAACGGTTGCTTAGATTCAGATATTGGCGAAACTCGTGACCATATAGATGACAAGTATGGTGATTTAGATCATTTCTCCCCTACGGATTAGGCCTGGGACCTGATGGGTAATTGAGAATGTCGCATGTTAAGGATTGCATCTCCTCTTGAATTGTCATTTTTGCCATGGAAATCCGGCTTTCTGACGGCAGAGAGAAGAAGGGTCAACCAATATAACGAGTAATAGTAGTAGTAGCAACGGTGAAACGAGGGCAAGAAAGTAAGGTAATTTCAAAGGACAGAGTATAGGAAATAATGAGGCTAGCCGTAGCCAATATGGGCGAAACCGAGAGTCTCGCAACCCCAATTGGCAACGTTTTGGTCTCATTTTCAGTGTTATCTGCAATGCTGGGCCCATTCCCTGAGAGATCGAACTATTTAATCGCGTTGGTGTTGGGTCTTTCTCTGCTGAGAAGGGCTGAAAACGGGCCGCGAAGAGGCTTTCGCTGCATGTGGTCATCCCAATGTTTAGGATGACAATTATCCGTAAATAATCTGAAATGCCATGATAATTGCCACAAGAAGTCATGAATCACAAAGTCTCTTCCTTCTGACAGGCCTGCAAGCTTCAGCTGTCCTCGCTCAAACGATGTTCAACAATATCCAGTGATGTTAGAAGATGGGATATCATTTTCCAAGAACATTCCAGGAATGGAGGATTTCTTTTCACGGTTGTTCTTGTTATTAACATCATTTTAATTGCCAGAGAATAAAAGCGTATTTTCTTCTTTGTGGTCATCCCAAAAGCGGAATATTCACCCACTATCCGACAACCGTGCAGAGCGATAGGCTTGACATCTAGCAGATCGTCTAGAAACCTTGTGTTTTCCCCGTTCTCCACAGTTCGAATTCGATCCGAAAATAGCGTAGGCCTAACGTTCCACGTCCCACTGAAATGGTGAATGAAACGCGAAGCAGGCCTCAAATCGGTCTAACGTTACATGTCCTCCGTGAAATAGTTCGTGAAAGTATGAATAGGCATGCGATTGGCCTAACGTTACGCGTCCGCAACGAGATGCCTCGAAGACATTCACCCTCATTGGACTGATTGGCGCCGTGAGTCGAGAATTGAGTTTTTGTTGAAAGAAATGAGGTAGGCCTTGGCATAACCTGAAGGCAGTCTGCTGGTCAGGCCTAGGCCTAACGTTAGTTCGGCCCGTAAGGAAGGGGAGGAGTTGGAAATTGGTTTTCACATTACTTCATGAGATGTTTATCTTTCGAGATATTCCAGACGTATATATATATTCGACACATCATGATATTCGCTCGGTGAGGTTATTGCTTCGGAGAAGTTGTGAACTCGCAATNGCAGATCGGAAGGAATTCTGATTCTCAGACGGAATTTCTTTCACCGCCGATTGGATTTCAAACTTGAGCGTCGCATTCCCCTCGTCTTTTTCGTGTTCCCGGACGAGAAGGAAGATGGAGCCACTCGGCAAAATGTCGTCTCCGTGTCTCCGTGTCGACTCCGAGAAAGATCGAAACATCGAGAGACGATCGAAGCCCGCAATCTCCGCGCGGAATCGACGGGAACGACGCCCAGCTCATTCGCGATTCGCCGGAATTCCGGCGACGACCTGCGAGGAGAACTAGCGAATCCGGTTGGATCAAGTGGAAAACTCGACTTTCGCGCTTGTCTTCACCGGAATCTCCACGTTATTTTAATATGGTTTCATCTCCCTCGTCTCAGGAGAAAATTGGTTCGACCTACGGACGCAAGATGGCGCCTGCACTCCAAATTTAGCGATTCTCACATTTATGTCTCCAGATTCAGTCCACTGGATTTTTTTTTACTGGACATTTTTCCTCGTACAACGTAGAGAAAGGCTTTAGAATCCCCAGTTAGAAAGACTCAAAGATTTAACCAGGCAGAAGAAGAAACCAAGTACTTCTGAAGTCCGAGGAAACGTGACGCTTCCGACTTCACTTCCGACTTCACTTCCGATAACATCTCCCAAAACTCGCGCTTCTTCGCGGGAGACCCATCTGGAGAAGATTTCCCGGGCAAAACCCTTTGTCCTCCCGGAACGCGACGAAGATCGACGAGAAGATTTCGTGGCGAATTTTGACGGAACTTCGCGAGATGAAGAAAATCACTTCAGATGTTATCGGGTAGGAGTAAAACTAAATCTCGCGAACAAATTAATAATAGTTAAAATTATTCCGACCTCACTTTCGTCAACACTGGTGAAAATTTCCACATCTGCGGTCGGCACGAGTACTCAGTAAATTTCCGCCAAGGGGCTCCAAGTGATGAAGCCATGTCCAATCGACGCAGTAGGGAACAAAGCACCTGGCTCATTCATTAGCAACGAGAAAAAATGAAAAATGAAACTGGAACTCGACGGCCGTTTCTTCCTTTTCACGCTCGAACGCTGCAGACTCGGATGACTCCGCGGGGGGTCGGGGAAGGGGGTCGGTCCCCGGCCGGAACGACTCGGCCGTGTCGGCTTCTTGGAGGCTTCCAGGTGGAAGAAATTATTTTAAGTGATTTCTGTTTCCCGTTGTTTTTTTTTTCTTGGATCTCGTCTGGGATATGCGGTTTCGAGTGCGATCGCCTCGGTCAACTGGTGGTCAACTGGTGGCCAACTGGTGGCCAACTGGTGCTGCTGAAAGCAATGAAAATTTGAGTCGCTAAAAAAAATGTTGAGTTTATGATTTAGTTTAAAATTCACATCTTAAGCAAAAAGAAATGTTTAATATATGTTGATGAATGATGGTCCATGATGATTTTATACAAAATTGATGGATATATCGATGAACACGCATATACCGAATGTCAATGATTTCCGCTGAGTAATTTTCCCCCTGGATTTAACCAATTTCAAGAGAAAATTGTTGAAATTTTCCTTGAAACCGGAAGCCCAAAATAAGCAAAAAGAGATTCTTCTTCGACTCCGCTCCGAATTTCCCCGACGGCATTTTCGAAGCCGATGTATTTTTTCTCCCTGGGTGTTCTCGTCGCCTTGGCATCGATCCAGAGATCCGGCCAATTCTCTCCTTTCCTGGGCCATTATCGCAGCATGAGCCGGATTGGGCCGAAGTGGGCCGATGTGGGCCGATCGGGTTTCACCCTTGCCATCGCATTTCCATTCTCGTCCTGCAGGGTGGGGAAAAAACCGGAATGTGCCCTACAAAGCCACTGCGAACGGCTGATCATCAGCTGCAATCATCAGCTGCGATCATCAGCTGCGATCGTTCCTCATTTCGACGGTTTTCGGCCCAGTGTGAGTCAAGCACGATGCAGTTCTCTTGAAATTCTAACAGACTAGAAGTTGAAAATCTGCTCACGGTGTCTGAATTTGCGCTGAACGTTCGGACTGCCGCCCATTCGTCTCATGAAAAAAAAAAATTTCCTCCAAGGAGAATGCATCGACGTGCAAAATTTCGTACCAGATTTCAAAAGTCGATATCAGACTCGCTGGCGATCGAAAAATGTTCATTTTTTGTCTGTTTATTCCATCATGAGATGGTTTGATTATGTTTCGGCAGGAAATCGGGTTCATTCGAGGAAACCTTGGATAGATTATAGGTTCTTTGTTTTTACTCCTGAAAATCAGAATAAATCCCGAAAATGAAGAAAACGAATGCAGAATTCCGGTCAGCATAGTTCTAAAAGTGCACCGTTTTTGCAATCTCTCGAGAATTTCTTCAACAGGGGAGCAGAGGGGGGGGGGGTAGAGGTAAGGCGCGGGGGTAAGGGACCCGGGGGGTTAAGAGCTGTAAGCAGGGCATGGCTTTGAAGGGTTCTAACCTTTGCTGTCTCCGAAGGTGTCAAACTGGCAATAGGAGAGAAGAGACAGAAAAGAATAATCTTTGATGGGTTGTCAAAGAGCGCTTGACGTGGTTGCGTTGGCTTAGCTAATCCTATCATCTTGTCTTGTGAAGTTTCACAATGCATTCCTTTTCTCATCGAACTGGTTTGAAGCGTATGGGTGAATCGCCGAAGAGTCCTCGTTATCGACCCGATCTAAAGGCGAGGGAAAAGATAGAGCGAAGAAGAAAGAACAAAGGAAAACTCGAGTCTACGTGCGAAACGTGACGCGCAGAAAGAATTGTGGGACAATTCGTGTACTGTCCTTTCGGTCGAGGAGTCGTTAGACATGAAAAGTCCTTTAGTGAAGAGGCAGTCGAGTGAGTTGGATGTCAGTAGAAAGTGGCCTTTCGGTGTGAAAGCCTATTCAAGACTCACGCTCACATAAAAAAGGGGGTAATTAAAGGCCCTTTAGCAGCTAAAAGAGAGAAAAGTCAAGACTGAGAATTGGTTTTTGTAGCTTTCAGCTGCTAACGGACTTTCGGTCAAAGGGACAAAAAGCTCGTTAGCAGTTGAAAGGGAATACAAGCACTTGGGGTAATTGTCCACGTTATCTGCATTTGCTCCTTTGCTATTGGACTTTCTATCGGGATTTCCCTAGGATGGACCACAATCTCAGCGGATGACCCATTGTTTCTTGGGAAGTGGCTCTTACAGGTTTTTGCTAAAAGGACAAACTTCAGTTGGCTTTCGAGAACAATCATCGCTGACAAGGACGACTATTAGATGGATGATTACTTAAATAAATATTTAAAAAAAACTTAAACCTGTTATAAGCTTCAAATACTTAGCCATGTTCCTCCAGACGTCTCAATTTTTTTCTATTTTTCCACTTGATTTTCCATTTCCTCCAGGCGATTTTTGTCTTCAAGGTTTTTGGTTTGACTGACGATATATTTGGCTTTTCCCAATCTTTTTGACTCTTAGATACCCCTGAACATGAGGGCTTCATGCCTCTGAGGTCGGCTTTGAAAAAAAAAATTAACTGATAACCACGCCAAGTGCCCCCCTCCCATCACTGCCCCCTTGCGAGCCATGTGGATTCATGGACGACCGTTGGAGTTGAGGGCTTCACTGTCAACATACTCAACAAACCTCATGACTTGCCGAAATTACTTTAAACTTATGAATTACAGTAATTCCTTATTTAAAAGCTGGAGAAACGTCTGTGTGCCGTGTAATTAACAAGAATCAGTTTCTCTTTCTTTCATATCCATCTTCATCTTCCCCTCTAGTATTTCTACTCCGCTTTTTCCAAAGACTTGACTTAATGGAGACGCTAATAGGAACATCGTAACGTTGTTAACGAATTAACTCAGCAGGAGACATAAGAAACACGAGAAGAGTGCATGAGACCTAGGGTGCACGAGACTCCAGACTCACATTGGCAAAGGAAAGTTCTACTCATGAGGTGATGAAATGGAAAAGGAAGTTACGTCATTGTCTACCTGATGGTCTTTAGCAATCAAGGGGTGGGAAAAAAAATGAAGATGTGAGTGGAATAGGCAAGGCAACCCTTCCACTCGAGAAAGAACTTGATGAATGACTTCTTCTACCGAGAAAGAAATCATGATTGATGCCCCCTAGAAAGGAATGCAAATCGCAAGAGGGATCAATCAACATCCTTGTTCATAAGGCTTTTTTTCAGACATGCACTCGATAAAACATGGGAAAATTGGACTTTTCTCTTTTCTCTGGTTGCTACGACGCGAATATCACGAGAGGAGGAAAAACAATGGGTTCAATTCATGGTGAGCTCCTTTCCTGCGCACTCACTGTCACCGACTAGGAGCTTTTCTTCTCTTCCATCGGAGGATCATCACATTCAACACAGTCAAGGGTCACAGTCCGTGAGGTAAAGGCGGCAGTCCGAGAGCGTGTGATACTCGGACGAGGAATCGAAGCCCGGATTGGGATTGTGTCTCTGGAGGGATAGAGGACAGGGAAGAAGTTCCGGCATCACCGAATGATGAGTGATGAGGGAATTCAGGCTCGGGAACTCCTTCGTCATTCCCTGTACATCCGACAGAAGAAAACCAAATTAGCAAAGACTCAAAAGAATGAAACCAACCTGGACGAACGTCTTTCAATGAGCACTGGGTTTTATGTGTGATTGAGGCGACTGTGTTGCAATTACGAAACATGGGGATTTGACAAACCCTCTGGTCGCCTTCCTCTCAGAGGGAGGCCAAAATAACATCATATAAAGCAAGTGGGCTTGACATTAAAACATGGCATATCACAAATTATGCTCCCTGCGCTTAAAAAGAGGAATAAATTTCAAATTGGAAGGTGTCGAAAAGAGCAATAGAAAGTATTTTTTTCTCATTTCGAATTTTTATATTTGCAAGTCTGACAAAGTAAATTATATATATCGCAAAACATGAAATTTGCCTCAATATTACGTCTGCTGGAGCGCTCTTCATCTCAAATAGACAGCAAAACTAACAATAAAAGGGGTAAATGGCCTCGTAAGTATGAAATTCAGATTCTCTCGCCTGAATAGTCTCTTATTAAGAGCAAACCTTGTTTCCCCCCTACTTGAATCTGGACCTACAGCTCCACATTTGCCGGGAATATTTGCAACAGCAAAATTCTCAAAAGACTGTATGGGACTCTTCCTACACCAACCAGGAGAAAACTGGCCCATAGAGACAAACGAAGGCTCGCAAACAGGAGCAACACGATGTCACGGGCGAAGTGATTAGTCAGGACAAGACGAAGAAGGACATTATAATGTTTCCTTGTAGTCGTAGCAGCCAGAATACAGTACATATTTGGATTGTGTCATTCCATCTTGATTTACTGGTTTGGAGGAGGGGGGGAGACAACGACAGCTGTTGCGCGATTCTTCATCTTTACTTGATACATATGTTTAGAAAGCAATCCTCGTCATTTAATGTCATCAACATGTGCTACTTGGAAATGCAGTATGGGTGAGATGAAGGGCAAATAGGAGTAGGTCCTTACGTCACACTACGTGTTACCTACTCAGGCTAACCCAAGTGAATGAGCTGCTCGAATTTCTGGAAGTTTTGTATTACATTTTCGTGAATATACGAACACGTTTATGTAATTCCCTTACCTTGATTTTGTATCCTCGGTTGGTCCTGATGATAAGATAATGGGAGATGCCTGATGGCTGGGATTCCGCGGGGACTCGAAGGGACAAGGCGAAGCAGCCCGGCTTCGTCACGCTCTTCCTGACCAGGAACGACCCTTCTCCCTCTCCCATCAGAACCTCCAACGCTATCTCCCTGAAAAACGCACACAACGCATTCACTTTCATGATCTCATTCCATATAAGGATTCCGATAGCGAAATCGGGATATCATCCATCTTGCAAATGGTTTCCCACGCTTCCACATCGACCATTGTTCCATGGAGCTGACTTCCCAAGGTGTTGATTACGTGAGTTTTTCAAGGTCGGAATGACTGCCCGACCAGGGTGAGGTTTACTCTTGATTTACTCTTGTTTTCATTTGCCATTTCCACTTTACAACTTCCACTCCATTCCCAGCTCCATTTACATAAAAAAATTACATATTATGGTTTTACAACCAGTGAATTTCTTTCTCTGGAATGGATGCATGCTTTCAAATGAGTTCAGAATGATACCATAGTTTACCAGTAACTGATTTTTCAATGTTCATCCAAAGTTTTCTCTTTTTTTTTTAATTTACGGTGCTCCACGAAGGATATAAGCCATCATCTTCGGAGGATTCCATAACGCAGTTCAGAGAAAAACAAAAAAAAAATATTTGATAGCATCCATTTGTTTTACTTGCATTTCATTTTATCTTGCAAATCAACAGCAGCATGGAATTCGCCGTTAATGCTATTAAATCTCGGTTCCCCTTCCGTTCCAAGTTAATTTTTGAAGCGCAAGCAGTTTCCGTTTTTATTGCCGTTAAGTAAAGATTGTAATCCAGTTTGTATTGCCCAACCTTGCTCAAGTTAATCAGTTCCACGCAATCCCAAGCGCCGGAGTGTTCAATGACCTTCCGACAAAGACACTTCTACCTGTCTCTTCCCCTCCCTTCATTCAGAGGAAAGACGGAGTGATATCATACCTAGGGATTCCAGCTTGGAACCACGGGGCAGTTCGGAGTTCCTCGTCGTCCTCCTTTTCTTCATCCCCTCCATTACTACTCAAGGAATCCCGTCTTTCGGGTAAGGGAGGAATGGGCAATTTCCTTCCTTCCTCCTCCTTCTTCTCTCTTTCTACTTCTTCATTCTCTTCTCTCCATCTGAAACATCAAGCTAGAGCGTAATTTCTTGCCAGAAATTACATATACATATTTCAAATGCTTCATGATTGATGGATTGTCCATGATAGGTCCTACTTTGAAAGTGAAATGTTCCCCAATTTCGCTCATCAATATTCGTGAAATGAGTGAAAGAAGACACGAAATACAGTAATTTAAAAATAACTTGCATTAGGATACTACACTGAATTGCCTCATCAGATCATACAGTGAAAGGGCCAGGTGGCTGGAAAATGAATTGATGATCCAGAATTAAAAGGTAGCGCAACAACTGGATCATAAAAAAAATATACTTGTATGTCTGACCAGCTGGAGAAAGCCCGATGGAATAGCATGAGCTCCGCTGATAGCAATTAATAATAAGATGTTGAGTGTTAGTATGAAAGATGAAGGGAAGAGCAGCTGGCATTACGTCCTATCTCCCCATGGCATGTTTTTCTGTCGCAGTTTCTTCATTTCTAAGTCATTTCATTATTAAAGATTTTAAGGGTAGCCATGGACAACCTTCACAGAAACAATATCAGCCTAAAGCAGAAAAAAATGTTCGTTGATCATTGTTTAATGGAGGGAAACGACATAAAAGCGGTTGGCTTTCTCGTTCATTCAGAGACTTTCCTTCAGATTGGCAGGGCAATCTATGGGTCTGGCAGCCGTAGGGGGCCTATTGAATATAAAAGTATGAGGCCAACCAAACCAAAGCATATATAAAGAGGGCGATATTAAAGTCTGCATGTGACAAAGAGAACAGTAAAGGGGGGCAGCTCTCGTAGGTACCCATGAAGGCATATGTACACCTCTTTGTATTGTCATACTGGATGGGAGGGTTTCAAAAGAAATACCATGAATGTCAACCATGACATTCAGAAGTACAATGGGGTCGGTTTTGAAGGATTAAAATTCGCGAAAACTTGGAGTGACATCAGCACACAGATGTCAGGCATCCAAGGCAACGGCAACTCCTCTTTGTTTGGTGGGAGAAAGGCAGAGGCTCAGGTGTGAAAGAAGTACCTGATATGATCAGAGGAGGAGGTGATGGGGAAGAAGTTGCCATTGGCATAGCCGCCCAGGGTACCAGTGGAAGGAGGGCAGCTGAGGTCATCCTCCTCCACCTGACCTCGCTTCACCTCCGATCTCGCCTCCTCGCTGGACTCCCCTTCCCCTTCCCCGCTTTTCACCCTCATCTTCTCTAAAACGGGTTCCCTGTGGTTCAGCCTCCCGAGTTCCACCGCCTGCTTCGCCTGTGGGCAAAATAAAACATGAGAGTTAATCAGGTTCTCCCTGTTGATGTCCACGGGAAAAAAAAATAAAGAATCTGGTCGAGCCAGGAATGCCGATAAAGTTTTCCGATAGCATGTCACTAAATGGGACGTCTTCCTGATACCTCACGTGTACTGAAATAGAATCCAGTCAACCCTCGATATAACACAATTGATGGGCATCGCCGATTTTGGCGCTATTACGAGGTTGGTGCTACAACGAATTAACCACATTCCATTTTATAAGTATATGGGGAATTTCGTCCACAGGAAGAGGGTGGCGCTACACCGAGAACCGTCTGCATTCACTTCCATGTTCGCCCTAAGGCGGAAACCAAGACATGGTTTTGGGAGCACGGCCTCCAGGAAATGTGTCTGGGAAGTGTCAATAATAATATCGGAATTTTTCCCAAGCACAGTGCGATACTCGTGAAACTCAAATGTACATTGATTGTAAGATGGTCTTATCTAGGTTATTGCAAGAACAAAAAAATCCTCGCAATCCTATGTATTTGAACGCAAGGCCTTTTCTTCTTTTTTTTTTACCATGCAATATTATATGGGGCAGGCTGCATTGCGGGGAGAGGGAGACTTGGCTTGCATGAGATGAATGTGGACAAACCCGTTTCCCTCAAGACGGCATTCGTTCCTGCCTCGGAATGTCAAGTAGAATCGAGTCTCAGCTCACCCAGACTTTGGTGGCGCTTTTGATTTCGTCCGTCCGATTCCCGCCGTCCAAGGACGTCAACGACGGACTCTCCAACTGATCCGCTATCACGTCGTGGAAGGATGGTGTCGTCTTCTGCAACTGGGCCGCGTAGGCCAGCCGGAACGCATTCCCGATTATTTCGTTCAGCTCCTCCGCCTTAAAAAAAAAATGAAAATCGGTGAGCGTGAATGATGGATAGTGGGTATCGAACGATAAAGTACCAGATGGGGAATTGGAAAACAGCAGTCACGCTACGACCGCCAGATGTCATAGCGTACAGCGAGGATAGTGTGGCGGGGATTGTAACGCGAATCACACGGGGGTGTGAATCAGCATAAACATTCTGGGCGGCATCGTAAGGATAATGATTGGATCACGTCGTGGGCTCGATTGCCGGGTATGCAAGGTGAACAGCTGAAGGGCAAACGAGAATGCCACATTTTTTCGAATGGCGAACCATTGTCACGGAGAAAAAAAATGACGACTAAAGCTGCAAATAAGGCAGCCACTGACACAGAAGACCTACTTACGAGTGAATTGGCAATGATTCAGCCTTCCGAAAGTAAAATCGGCCCGTGTACTTTACAGCTAGAGCTTGGCCTTCTATACGGGCTTCCTTTTGTTCATGAGAATCGTCGGGCTGCCCCTGCAGCGGTTCCCAAACTTCTCTTATGAGCTTCCCCCATAACGACCCTGATTTAACGTCGCGCCTCCCAGTTTGAGAACCGCTGCTTTAAAATGTGATTCATGGGAGGTTGGGCTGGAAGCGTGACGTTATTCCCAAGCCAAAAAAAACCCCTAACTCAAGCTGCAACGACCCAAGCGAAGGGCTCGATGGTTATGGTCCTGCGCCGCGATCGTCTGCGGCTTCCGATAACGTCGCTGAGGATTACCGTAAAATGCAAGCACCCTTAAGGTCAACGCATGCAACATCTGCGGCATTTCGTTCCGAGCGGGCATTGACCGACGACCCGATATTCACGGATCCGTGATTTCTCGACTCCGCCAGACCGGCGAAGCATAAAAATAAGGATGAAAAGAAGAACCCACTGAGATAATGAGACGAATCGCAGCGGGAATTAAATTCAAGGTCTTCCTCTCTCTGCGTGGTTACTTTCCGACGACCTTGAGGCCGACAGAAACGGCATGAAGCGAGGAACTCAGCAGGTCGTAGGAGTCAGGCACAACACGCCTCGGTTCGCCCATCGCCTCTCATAAATAGACTTCGGACTTTTTGACCGAATGAGTGGCAGTGGAAGTTCATGAAAACGACGGGGCGGGGCTGAAGCTCTTTGTACGCGTATCCCCTTTGAAAAGAGGTGCACATTCCAGGCGTGCTTTCCCCCGGGGCATGCAAAAGGAGAAAAAAAAAAAGAGCCTTTCCCTTTTCGTCTCTCTCTCTCTCTTCCGTGTTGGGAAGATGACAAGGGAGATGGAGCTCGGATTTCTCTCACGCCAGGAAATTCCAACACGGAAAGCTGCTTATCGAGAAGAAAATATGTCAAACGTGTCGCGCCAAATTTCCTGTCTGCCTCGAGGGCAGGAAAAGGAAAAAGAATTTCTGGCACCACCACCTCTGGTGAAACCGCATTTTAACCCCAGCATGGTTTACGATAACGGTATAAGAAGGGGATGACCCCATGCAGTTGAGTGTGACAATGTCTCCTCTCTTCTGCCCCACAGATGACGCCTTTGATAACGAGGGGGGCGAGGGAACAAAGAAAAGACTTGTCATATGCGGGAACACCCCCATCAGGGTCCAGCACGCCACATCAAGGATTAAATTTTTTTTTCAGATACTCAGTCAAAAGCAGGTGCTACACGGGACAACAAATTGGTTGGATCATGCAGCAATGCTCGCAATTACCACTGGCTGCTTATAATTGACTTTAAAATCCGCCTGTGCTTCAGAATTTCACCCCGAAGGCTTGAAGGGGTCCCGTTGCATTTCCCAATCTCACATTTTTTAGCTGGAAGAAAAAAAAAAAGAGTCGGCGAAATGCCAAAAGTGGCGGGTCATGACTGACCCAGGTAATTACCGATTTCATTACGGCTGTCAATCATTGGTAGAAGCAACACGGAAATTACAGGAATCATCTTCTCGTGCATGGGTCGTTCACTTATACGTACACATACACGCACATGTGTGTGCGGAAAGAAAAAGAGAGAGAGAGAAGAGAGAGAGATATGAAATGAAATGCATACTTATGCAAATGTCACTGCAGGGCTTGGCTTCGCCCTGGCGTGTGCCACTTGTATTCATTCCTGCCTTCTGGTTATCATGCACGGTCAAAAGAGAAATTAATTTATAAAAAAAAATCGGTCTCACCTGAATCTTCTGAACCTGGCCGCAATGAGAACACGAGAAAGCGAGGAATTCCCGCCAGTCCGGCACATAAATGTCGGAATAATCCTCCAATTTCTTATACTTGACAGCGAATTCATTCGAGGATGGGAGACAATGCTTGAGTCGACCCATCGTTTTCAAATCATGTGAAGGGAACACAACACACGCACATAAGCACGCAAACCGTGACAGAGCGATGGATATCTCTATGGGAGAGGACCCACGCAATTGTCCTCGGAGCTTATCTCTCTTCACCTGCACGGGAAAGAAGAAGCGGACAGGAGGGGGAAGGAAGAAATGTGTGACAGGTGGCCTGGAAACAATTTCACCTGGTACAAATCGACAGATATGCTACAGGATTCCTAAATTGAAAACATGACGAAGCGGGACGTTCCTACATGACACAGAAACGTGGCACTGAAGCATGAACTTGTGCTTCGACACCGCCGCAGGAATTGAAGCACCACAAAAGAGACGATCGAAAACGCCAGATAACGCAGGATATAGGCTACGTGATTTCACTCTTTGGAGAGTTTTTCTTTATGCAAATGAACCGATAAGCGTGAATACTCGAGATGGGAGAACCGCAGGCGATGCGAACGGACCCGGCCGATGCACTGAACTGGACATGGAATGAGAGAGAGATCTCGGGCCGTGGAGGAAGAGGTCTGCGCGGTGCTACTTTCTCCCGCCCGCGGGCTCACTCCGAGACCCGCGGACTGCGCGGCGGGCCGACCTCCGCAGCCACGCGGATCCGTTCCGAGAGGCGGGCGGGGGAAGGAGGACTCTGCTATCAGAGCTGGAGGGGGAAAAACACGTGTGGAATGCGGTTGGTTCGACCTGCCTATTCCCTCCTGGAGGCAAAACGAAACCCAGAGAGAGAAGAGATTCATTCCAATTCCTTGCCTGCCACAATTAATGGGGCTTGGGGGAAGAGCCAGAGAGAGAGAGAAAATGCAATTTATGCCGCCGCTTAAAATCAGCGCCAGAGCTCATTATTGGCCTGCCTCCCACCAGGGCCAACAATCATTACCAGGGCCAATCCAATCTCTCGGAATTATTCCCCTTCGTTTTCGGCTCTCGGTCAAAGGGGGAAAACCACCTAGGTTTTCATCATGGGAGTTGGTCGGGCATTGTGTCTCTGCGAGGATGAAAACAATAACGCCCTTTATCAGTCAGTCCATCGACCTCGTTTTCCTCGCTCAGATGATTCATGCCTACTGCTGAAGAAAACAGCCGTTACGGGCTGAGAAGTGTAGATCAAACATTCAAATATGAATCAAACATTCCTTTCGTCAGTCCTCCTATCTGACTTTTTGATTTTGTTTGGGGACAAGAAAAAAAAAACTAAGTATTTTTCACAAATGAACAAAAAATTACTTGGACCAGATGAGCAAAGTAAATACGGGGTCGGAAGAAACAAAAATCAAAGGTTGGCAAAAAAAAGGGCGGGAAATTGGGGGTTTCTCATGATAGGTTGGCATTCCACGCGGGCGCCGTTGAAGGTCGTACCGCGTCTCGAAAGATGCTTTCGAAGAGAGAAAAGAGAGAAAAGAAATGAGGAATGCTGACCTTATTAACCCCTTGTGCCTGGGAGCGTGTTAATCAATTAAACTCCATCATTCCACGCTCTTTTAATGCACGAAGCCCCGGAGGGCCGAGGAGCCCACGACTGCGATCGCGGCTTCCATCACCTGCCCCATTTCTTATGCGGGAAATCCTTTCCGTCACCTTCAGCGCTTCTTATTCCTTCCCGTCACCTTCAGCGCTGCTGATTCCTTTTCGTCCCCCTGCTTTGAAATTTATGCAAATTCACTGGAAAGTATTATTGCTTTTCATATCTGTGCCTGCGCCTTCTCGTTTCCGTTTTCCTTTCATACCATCACTCTTTAGCTGTTGCTTCACCGTTGGTACACCTCCTTTATACAGTTATTCATACATATTATTACCCTTTTCACCCCTCGGAAGTAGCTGTTCATATTTAGCCATTAAGAGAGAATCTTCATAAATAAATAACAAATTGAGGCCACACAGAGCGCTGTCAAGTCAGCCTGCGTTACCACTTCCGGTGTCGGACGACAATGCAAAGCATACCGTACAAATTGCAGAATAATTTGGCAGACTGCCACCTCCGAGTAGACAAAGGCAGGCATTAATTTCGATGTTAAGTCCGGAAACTTTTACTGCAGATCTCTCCCCCCCCCTCCCCCCCCCCCTCCCGGCCTCCATTGCTCCAATGACCCTTTCCCCCCCTTTCCAAAAGCTTTACCTTCTCGATTCACGCTGACACAAGTAAACCTTAATAGAGAGATAAATCGCGACAGTCAAGATTCAGAATGCGAGCGCATTTTGGTGCAAATGAGAAGACGAAGCCCTCCGGACCAAGCCTGCACGCTTGTTTTCTATCAAGTCCTCCTCCATATTGTCCCTTCCTTGCGGGAGGTGAAAAAAAAAAAATTCAGGGTGCGCCCTCTGTGACATTCGGATTGATTTACAACCACAAACGAGGATGAGGGAACGCATTCCGAGAGCGTCTTCGGAACGGACCGAAGAGAAAAAATGCGTCAAGAATTTTTAGCTCGACCTTCGGCGATTTTACCTTGGGAAACCGCGAAGGAATGCCTTGATGGGAACAGCATCTGCTCTATCGATTATAGGCGTGATTCTCAAAGACAGATACACATAGAGATATGGAAGGGAACAAAAAAATCCCGTGCCCCCTCTGGCTGAGACAGAAATTGAAGGTCTTGGGTTTCTTTCGGGCGGGGTTTCTTAGGAACCGTTAGCCCTCAGGGGTTCCCCTCCTTCTTCGAAGTTAGATTTACAAATTCTTCGCCCGAAAGTATCTAGATTATAGCATTGGGTCGAGCTATATCTGAACGCAAGCGGGACGGAGAGAAATGTTGGATGGTGGACTCCATAAATATTCCTTTGGGTTATTTATGGTGTCTGTCTTGCAAAAGATGACCTTGAAGTTTCGAACGTGTGAGAAAAATATGCAATTTCAGGTCGTCAAATTTAACGGTATTCGCTGAAGTCTCGCCGTACAGCTCCACGCCTGTCTCTTAACACATTGAGGACGGGAGACGCAAATTTGCGCTTTCTTATCGGTGTAACTTCTATGATTCTTTCTGTGTACCATTTGTTTCTGAGATGTGCTTGTGTTAATTTTAGACATTCTGAAGTTTCCTTTTTAGTGCCATTTTTTTTCCGTCAGCTGAGCTTTTATTGCATTTTATTTATATTTGCATTATTAAAATCTATGTTATCTGTAGGGTGCCGGTCCTCGACGTGTCAACAAGAGATGTTTGAATCTATGCATGATCTATTTTTCCAATATACTTGTGTTGAGTTACGTATTTTTGCTTAGTTCTCCATTTCACTCTCTTTTTGTATTCCATTTCTTTTGATTATATCTACTCAATGAATGGCATTAAAAAATATATAAAAAAAAAGGACCACGAAAAAACAGAAAATATGGCAATACGCGAGAGAAAAATGAAACGTGTCCCCCCTTTTCTCCCAGGTAAAGGTCAGGCATTTCACACAATAAGTACGGGATATGGTATGCAGAAGGAAGGTAATAAGGAAGTACTCGTCATTGTACACACGCTACAGCTAAATGGTTGGAAGCGATGGTGATGAAACGCGAGGGCCAGGCCCATACTCCGGAGGGAGGCCTCGTGACGCAACGAGTCAATGTGACACCCCTGCCTGCAGACTCGTTCTCTCTTTCTCCATCTCTTTTTAATGGCCTGGAATGCGAGGAGAGATGATGATGGTGGTGGTGGCCTGCTTCCCTTACCTGTTGAGGGGAAGGCGTGAGGAAGACGTGGCAGTTCTGTTCCGAAGGGGAACCCCGGGGAAGGCGGGCCAGGAAGGAGAACTGGCGCCGCTCCGGATCACAGGAGGAGAACGAGATTCTCCGCAGGGCATGGGCACTCAGCACCGTCTTCAATGACAAAAAATATATATATATATAAAAAATAAAATAATGTAGCAATGTAACAATACGCGGTAGTTAACAACAATTTTGCCCAAAATGTGTGAATGTGCGAAAATAGGAATTAAACTATCAGTTGCAATCGCTGGCAGTAAATTGCATGCATACGTGCCCCCAGGAAGGTGTTGTGAAATTGCACAACTTTCAAAAAACAGATTACAACTTAAAAACGTCTACTTTGTTGGCTCAACCTCCTTTTCTTGCTACCTTCCATTCGTTCCCTGACTTTTGCATACATCTTTTCGAATAAAATAAGATAAATAAAATAAAAAAGCAACTACTTTTTCACTTGCCACTTCCGTAAAAAAAAATGTTTGGCTCCGGTCGTCCTTCGTATGACGATTTTATTAAGATATTTAGCACCTACCTGGTATGATACATTTTGAAGCGAAATAAAAAAAAAGCGAAGTCGTCCACAGAACTTGCTTGCATCAAATGTCCCATTTATTAGCTAACTCCATTGCCTCAACATGTTACTTTCGTACTTTGAAGCTATCAACAAGAGTAAGTATTACTTTAAAAAAAAAGAAATTTTTTTTACTGAGAGTAGCGGTTCTTCTTTAGCACTTCCACAATACATGTATGAAAATGTGTAAGACTCATTGAGGTATTGCCCTTTTTTAAGTAGACATAACTGGACCTAACTTCACTCTCTGTCCTCTTCTTGTAGAGGAGAACGTTGCGAGAAAAAAAAAGAGAGAATTGTCATCCACGTATTTAATGCCGTAGCTTTGTAAATAGTCACGTAGTTTCAGGTGAATAATCGCATCGTGAAAGTTTTTTTGCGCAGTCGCAATATATTTTTTGCCTAATAGCTGAACTTGAAGTTGAATTAGCAATAAGCTTAGCCCTGGTAAAAGTGAATGAAATAAGAGAAGACAGGCAAATGTAGACAGAAGAATCACTTCCAAAATTCTATTTTAAATTATAAATTAATTGGGCGGTAAGTAAAAACATGATGATGTAAAAATGGAGTAGACGAATTTTGGGTCAAAGAAACGCCAGATATTCTGTATGAGCCCATTATCCAAAAGCACATGAGCAGGTTGTTGTTCCAAAGATGGAGAGAGATTAAGATAACATTATTTTTTTAACGGAGGATGGCAACACCTGAGAACAGGATATTGCGGAACAATGAGGGTCACTTTGAATGAGGGATTCCCGTGGCATCTTCCCTCACACTACCCTGATGGCGTCGACAGAACGCCTGCATTAGCCACAGACAGACCACGTTCGTCCACACTAGCCAAAAAATAGATAATGTTGATGG